TTCAATCGATGCTGAAAAAAATTGTTTCAAAAACTCAACATTCCTTTATGATAAAAGTCCTCAATGAGTTAGGCATAGAAGAAGCATAAATTAGGAGAAGTCATATACAACATACCCACAACCAGCGTCATACTGAGTGAAGAAAAGTTGAAAGCATTCCCCCTAAGAACCCAGAACAAAATAAGAATGCCCACTTTCACTTCTATTCAACATCGTATTAGAAGTCCTATTCAGAGAAATCAGGCAAAGAGAAATAAATAAAAGGCATCAAATTGGAAAAAAGGAAGTCAAGTCATCTCTGTTTGCTAAAAATATGGTCTTATACACAGAAAGCCATACAGACTTCATCAAAAGACTCCTAGATTTGTTCCATAAATTCAGAAAACTTTTTAGGATATAAAATCAGTGTACAAAATTTAGTAGCATTTCCACACACCAATAACAAGCTGATAACCAAATAAAGAAGTCAATCTCATTGACAATAGCTACCAAAAAATTTAAAGTACCTAGCAATGCATTTAACCAAAAAAGTGAAAGATACATGAAAATCTATAAAGCATTGATTTAAAAGATTGTAGATGATGCAAATGAAAAAATTCTGTGCACAAGAATTAGAAGAATCAATATCATTAAACTGACCATATTATCCAAACCAGTCTACAGATTCATTGCAATTCCCATCAAATTACCAATGTCATTTTTCACAGAATTAGAAAAAACATCCTAAAGTTTATATGGAAGCAAAATAAAGCCTGAATAGCCATAGTAATACAAAACAAAAATAGCGAAATTGGAGGCAACATGTTACCTGGTTTCAAATTATATGCCAAGGCTTTATAGCCGAAACAGTATGGTATTGGCATTAAAATAGACACATTGATCAAAGAAACAAAATAGAGAACACAGAAATAAAGCCACCTACCTACAGCCAACTGATCTTTGGCAAAGTTGACAAAAACATATACCAAAGAAAGGACTCACTATTCAAAAATTTGTGCTGGGAAAATTGGATTGCCCTATGAAGAAGAAAGAAAGTTGACCCCTAATTCTCACTGTATACAAAAGTTAACTCAAGGTGGATTAAAGACTTAAATGGAAACTCTGAATATTAGAAAAAAAATCTAGGAAAATTCTTCTGGACATTGGCCTTAGCAAAGAATCCATGATTAAGTCCTCAAAGGAAAACACAAAACTAACAAATGAAACTTAATTAACTTAAAAAGCTTCCGTACCAAAAGAAATCAGTGGAATGAACTGTCAACCAGAAAAATGGGAGAAAATGTTTGCCAACTATGCGTCTAACAAAGTGCTAATACTTAGATTCTACAAGGACCTCAAATATCTCAACAATAACAACAAAAACCACAAATAATAACATTAAAAAGTGGGCAGAGGACACAAACACACATTTTTTTTCAAAAGAAGACATACAAGAGGAAGATAAGCATATGAAAAAATGCCTAAGATCACTAGTTATTAGAAAAACGCAAATTAAAACAACAATGGGTTATCTTACCCCAATCAGAATGGCTATAATTTAAAACTCAAAAATTGACAGATGTTGGAAAGGATGTTTATACAAATGGTTATACATGGTTGGTATGGATGTAAATTAGGACATCTTTTATAGAAAACATTATGGACATTTCTCAAATAACTGAAAATAGAGCTACTATTCAATCCAGCAATCCAACTATGGGGCATCTATCCAAAAGGAAAATAAATATTATCTAAAATAGATTACTCTACTTTATGCTTATAGCAGTACTATTCAAAATAGCAAAGATATGGAACCTACCTAAGTGTCTATAAACAGATGATTGGATTAAAATATAAGATATATATTATGAGATACTACTTAGCCATAAAAAAGAAGGAAATCAAGTGTTTTGCAGCAACATAAATGGATCTAGAGGCCGTTATCTTAAGTAAAATAATTCAGGAACAGAAAATCAATCACTGCATGCTATTACTTATGTACAGGAGCTAAATAACATGTGCACATGGATATAGTGAAATAATAGATGTTGGAAACTCAAAAGGGTGGGAGAGTAGGAGGGAAATGAAGGATGAGAAATTACTTAATGGGTACAATGTACACTATTTGGGTGATGGATGCACTAAAAGCTGAGACCACCACTATGCAATGATATCTATGTAACAAAATTGCACTTTAAAAATGAAATATATATTTCCCAAGTCTTCTATTTTTTATATCTTATCTGATGTGTTTTAATGTTTCTTGACAGATTTCCTAAACCCATTTTCCAAACCTTCTAGTTTTTTTCCTTTTCTTCTCTATTATGTTTTGATGTTTCTTTATGGGGCGGGGGTGGGAATTTATCAAGAAATAGAACAAAAAGACAAATAGATAAAAACAGGAGAGAAAATTTAAAAGCCCATGTAGAAGATGCAACATCTGAATAATATGATTTCTAGAAGAAAGGAGAAGAGAAAATATAGAGGGATAAATCTTGAAAACAGTTTTCTCAAGACAAAGGGCATAGGTTTTATACATATATAAAGGGCCAGCAAGAACCCAAGATAATGAACCAAATTAAGCGTATCATTGTTAAGTTAAGAATAACACTTGGGGAAAAAAAAGAAAGAATAGCGCTTAGGAACAAGCATATGATTCTAGTTGCTCAAAAGAGGAGATAAATAAATAATAAAGAAACATGTGTATAATATTAAGAATTAAAATTGCTTCAGAATTCTCAACAGCAATGCTAGAAGCTAGAGTGATCAATATGTGCAATATTTTTAAGAAAAATAATATCTAACCTAGAATTCTATATATGCTCAAACTACTAATCAAGATGTTGAAGAGAATAAAGACATTGGAGGATAAGCACAATCTAAAAATAATAATAAAATTTAAAAAACTAAATATATAAAGAGAAAAAAATCTGTATTGATTACCTGACTTCCCTAAACCCCTATTTTGGCTGGTAGACTATAATAATGTTTTAGGTTTCTTGGCACTGATGTCAGTTCAGAACCTGTGTCTTGTACTCTCCCAAAATTAATTTTCTCCCCAATTCCCAGCAATAAGTCATAGTTCTCTTTGGGGAAGGTTGTGAGAAAGTTTGAGAGTATATGTTTTTGTCAGTGTAGTGGGATCCAACAGGGGCTCATACGCTCCTTCATTCAAGGGATTATGAGTTTATAAACTGGCTCAGCTCTGGGAATTGCTTCATTGGCTATGACTTTCTGTTTTTATGGTACAAGTTAAATTTTTGTTATTGTACTAAGACTTTTCTGTATGTACAGGTTTAATAAAAATTTAATGTAATTCTCATTTATCTCACTACTAGGAACATGATTAACTCATCAATGCCATAGGTCTGTATGTCATATTTTTCTGATTGCTGCTTTTACTCTTTTGTTTATTACAGTAACCATATCCACCTAGCTCTTTTCAGTTAAGTGCTGCCACTTGGTCCCTACCATCAGAAGATTCAATTGTTACAACTGAATTTAGATTTTTCAGTTCAATGGCAGTACTCCCTGTAATTTCTGACCTATAGAAAAAAGTGATCACAGAGATCTTAAAAGATATTGAGGTTCCATCACAAATTTATTTCTCACAATTGTAGTGAAAAGTTGTCCCTTGGACCCTACCAAGGTGGATGAGCAGGTCTTAAATGAAAAATTTCTCTAAGAATTTGGATTCCTTCCTTTACAGTATTCCAAAGCAGGACTGAATTTCTAACTTTACACAGCATAAGCCACTTTTTGGTCTATATTTCTCTCAACTTTTTAGAGCATTTTCTGTCACCCTGAGCTGCAACATTAAATACAGAATCTCTTCTTATTGAGTCATATGAATTAATTTAATCTATTCCAACTTTTTCTTTCTTTCACCATTAGTTCATACTTTTAATATCCATTGCCATTTATATTCCCTAAGTTTATTTATATGTAAATTAGAAAAGTAATGTAATTTTTTTGGAGTTTACTGCACCTCTTCATGTGTCACACTTTGCACCTCACCATTAAAGACCTGTTGAGATATGAGTCTAGTTATGGGTTTAGAAACAAAACAGGGTGGTGTGGAGAATTCTGGGGATAATCAGTAATGTCTCCTTCTCCCCAGGGCTTTAGTTGTTTTATTTTATTTATATGCCTATAATCTATGCCCACAGGTACCCACTAATCTCCAGTAACACTGCAGTTCATGCATGCCATAGTTCCCACTTCTATTTCCACTACTTTAATCAGTCTTCAACCTGCATTCTAAACTATTTTACCATTTCTGTCAGTGTCCCAAGTCAGGCAAAACAAAACCCAGTCTCTGGGGCTGCCCTCAGATAGCCAGAACTTTACAAGCAAGTTCCATTTATTTTCTTTCATTCCAAGAAAAGTGACAGTGGTTGGATGACTTGTCCTAACTGCTTTGTACTGCCAGGAAGGGGATGAGACAAAGGCAAAGAAAAATCCATAAAATTTCCTAGAAGTTTTTAAATTTTTAGAGTGTATGCTTTGAGGTGGTGGGGCATTTTCTTGGTTGTTGGAACTTTTTTTTTTTTTTTTTGAGTTGGAGTCTCACTCTGTCGCCCAGACTGGAGTGCAGTGGCCACTCCCGGCTACCGCAGCCTCGACCGACTGGGCTCCAGCGATCCTTCCACCTAAGCCTTCCGAGTAGCCGGAATTACAGTCATGCACTACCATGCCCAGCTGATTTTTTGATTTATTGTAGAGATGAGGTCTTACTGCCCAGGCGGGTCTCGAACCCAGTGCTCAGGCAATCCACTCACCTCAGCCTCCCAAAGGCGCGGGATTACAGGCTGAGCCACTGAGCCTGGCTGTTTGTTGGAACTTTTAACTGTTATCTATAGTTCTCACTAAGTTACTTTGCTCTACATTTTTTTTTTTTTTTTTTTGGTATTTCCATGGATGAATGAGGACTGGGGCTTTCTAATCTTGTTGATGTAACTCTCCTCTGGTAGTTCATCTTCTCATCATATTTGTTTATCTTTGTATCTTCGTTTTATAAGGTTGTGGCTCACCTCAAAACTATGCTAGGAGCCTCGGTTCAGCATGTTAAACTGAAGAAAATGAAGTATTCTTTTCAGTTGTGGATCACAATGATGTCAGCAAAGGGACATGATGGGGAGGTATGTTTTCTTCTTTCTTTCCTTTTCTTTCTTTTTGATTTTATAAACATTTATTTGGCTTCTATTGTGTACCATTCATTAGAGATATAGAGAAAAGAAACTCACAGGAAACATTTTTTAAAAAGAGAAAAATACTTAAAGCGTTTACAACTATAGCACCTTGAACACAACAGATTTCATTTGATTTTGGAAGATTAAAAAATACAGTTTGGTGAGTACTGAACTGGCATAAGCATATATGGTTGTGCGATCACAGAAGGTGGACTCATTCCTACATAGAAGTCATGAAGGCTTCTTGGTGGAGGAGTTACTATATCCCAAGTTTTGAATAATTTGGAGCCCTTAACTGGGTAGATAAGTGATAAAGGTTATTATAGGCAGAGGGGAAGGCATGTCATGGGTGAAGACACAAGGGCGTGAGGTTTTTTTTTAATTTTTAATTTTTATTTTAAAGATGCAGGGTACAATTCAGGATTAGGTATGTAAGTGGCCACTGTACAGGTAAAGTTTGGTCTCCCTTTGGTCCCCATTTCGCCTGGTTTGAGATCAGGTACCCTTATTGATGAAGTGTGTCTTCCCTCCCTCCCCTGGCATTTCCCACCACTGTCAATCCCTTTCTTATAGTATTATAATTGTTCAGGATCCACTTATGAGTGGGAACATATGGTACTCAGTTCTTTGTTTCTTTTTTTTTTTTTTTTTTTGAGTTGGAGTCTCACTCTGTCACCCAGACTGGAGTGCAGTGGCCACTCCCGGCCACTGCAGCCTCGACCTGCTGGGCTCTGGCAATCCTTCCACCTGAGCCTTCCAAGTAGCTGGAACTACAGGCACGCTACCACGCCCAGCTAATTTTTGATTTATTGTAGAGATGAGGTCTCACCAAGTTGCCCAAGCAGGTCTCGAACACACGGGCTCAGGCAATCCACTCACCTTGGCCTCCCAAAGCATGGGATTACAGGCTGAGCCACTGAACCCGGCCCAGTTCTTTGTTTCTATGATACTCTAAATCCATCTAAGTCATTCCATAGTGACTTTGTCTTTCTTTATGGCTGCGTAATATTCCATCATGTATACATACTACTTTTTTAAAAATCCAACCCACTTTTGGTAAGCAGCACGGTTGGTTCCATGTCAGTATTATGAGTACTCAGAGCACTTAGATTTCAATAAAGCATCAAATAATTGTGTAACCCCCATTGTCATGCTCATTTTACACTCTCCCTGAGAAGTTTTTAAAAGACATGCACACAACGATCTTTCTCCTGTGTATTTTCTCTCTTCTGTTCACATCTGCTATAATTGGAAGCTGATGTAAGTACTTATGAAAGAAACTTCCCTTATACCACACTATTTTAGGCTTATTGGAGATTTTAAATATAAGCTCTTTAAGATAAATAAGTTAAATTTAACATTCTGAATAAGTGGAAATCTCATTTTTTAGTATTTTAACTTTTGTGTATATACTAGCTAATAGGAATGTTTGTTTTGGAACATAATGGACTCAATTGCAGGCTACTCTCCAGTTTTCTTATTTGAGTCATGTTAATGTATTCATTCTGCAATTTACTCATATGTGAAATGAAGCTATTTATATCAATGCTGCAAGATTATTGTGTGAATTAATATTATTTCTGGCCAGGCGCTGTGGCTCAACCTGTAATCCTAGCACTTTGGGAGGCTGAGGCGAGAAGATTGCCTAAGCCTGGGGGTTCAAGACAAGCCTGGGCAACTTAGTGAGACCTAGTCTCTACAATAAATCACAAAAAAAAGTAGCTGGGTATGGTGGATTGCATCTGTAGTTCCAGCTACTTGGAAGGCTGAGGTGGAAGGATCACCTAAGCCCATCAGGTCAAGGTTATGGTGGCTATGAACGTGCTACTGCACTCCAGCCTAGATGAGAAGAGTGAGACTCCAACTAAAAAAAATTCTTTCTTTTAAAAAAATTGTTATTATAAAGATGTGGGGTACATTTTAGGGTTAGGTATATAAACGTTGATCATCCAGCTGCCCTTGTTGATGCGGTATTCCCCTCCCTCCCCTAGCAGTTTTCCCCAACTGCCAATCCCAGCCCCCCTCCCCTGACAGTTTTCCACTACTGCCAATCACTTTCTTATAGCATTATAATTGTTCAAGGTCCGTTTATGAGTGAGAACATATGCTAATCTGTTCTTTGTTTCTGTGATAAATCACTGAGTAGGATCGACTTCAAATCCATCCAAGTTGCTCCAAAGTCCATATATTTGTCCTTCTTTATGGCGGCATAATATTCCATTGTGTATATATACCACATTTTTTTAATCCAATCCAGCTTCGATGGGCAATATGGTTGGTTCCATGTTTTTGCTATTGTGAGTAGAGCTGCAACAAACATATGTGTGCAGGTATCTTTTTTGTAGAATGATTTGAATTCCTCCAGGTATATTCCCAATAGGGGAATTGCTGAGTCATACAAAAAGTCAATTTCTAGTTCTTTCAGAAATTGCCACACTTTCCAACAGAATTCTATAAAACATACAAGGAGGAGCTGATACCAGTCCTATTGAAAGTATTGCAGGCAATTGAGAAAGATGGAATCCTCCCCAAATCATTTTACGAAGCTAACATTACACTGATACCTAAACCGGGTAAAGATCCAACAAAGAAAGAGACTACAGGCCAATATCCCTTATGAACATAGATGCAAAAATTCTCAACGAGATTCTAACAAATTGCATCCAAAAACACATCTCAAAAATCATTTACCATGACCAAGGTAGGGTTCATCCCCAGGATGCAGGGTTGGTTCAACATTCGCAAGACCATAAATGTCATTAAATACACCAACGGATGTAAAACCAAGAACCACATGATTGTCTCATTAGATGCAGAAAAAGCTTTTGATAAAATTGAGCATCCCTTCTTGATAAAAACCCTCAAACACCTACGTATAGAAGTAACATACCTCAAAATAGTGTCATCTACAACAAACCCACAGCTAACATATTGCTAAATGGACAGAAACTAGAATCATTTCCCCTGAAAACTGTAACAAGACAAGATTGCCCCCTCTCACCCCTCTTGTTCAATATTGTGTTGGAAGTCCTAGCTCAGGCAATTAGACAAGAGAAGGAAGTCAGGGATATCCAAATAGGAAAAGAGGAAGTCAAGTTATCCCTCTTTGCTGATGATATGATCCTATACCTTGAAAATCAAAGAGAATCTGTCAAAAATTATTTCTTATAAAATGTCCTTCAATAAGAAAGTACTCATACGATCCTTTTCTACCTTAAAGAAGATAGTCACTATCATTGTTAAAATAGTCATTTTTCTTTATATAAATATCTTGGAAATCTCCCAGAACAAAAAGTTCATGTAAATCCACAAGATGAGGATATTAGGCTCTGAGTTATAAGTTCATAGAATATTGCATCAGAACTAAACAAAAGATGAGTAATACAATGTTTATTCTAATTCCACCTCCAGGTGATACATTTCTGCAATTTGTATAAACTATTAACATGCATGCTGATTGCTAAAATTGGTACTGTAATTTAAAACCTAAAAAAAAAGATATAGAGGGAAAAAAGCTGTTTTCATCTTTCCTAGAATAATGATGCCTAACTCAGAGCTGCATATAGAGGGAAAAAAGCTGTTTTCATCTTTCCTAGAATAATGATGCCTAACTCAGAGCTGCTGGTCAAAAACACATTGCCATGTTACTCATTAAGAGTTCATCTTTTTAAGATAGAGAGGCAGCCGGGCTCAGTGGCTCAGCCTGTAATCCCGCGCCTTTGGGAGGCTGAGGTGAGTGGATTGCCTGAGCCCGCGGGTTCGAGACCCGCCTGGGCAGCAAGACCTCATCTCTACAATAAATCAAAAAATCAGCCGGGCGTGGTAGCTCATGCCTGTAATTCCGGCTACTCGGAAGGCTGAGGCGGAAGGATCACCGGAGCCCAGCAGGTCGAGGCTGCGGTGGCCGGGAGTGGCCACTGCACTCCAGTCTGGGCGACAGAGTGAGACTAAAACATAAGAAAGTTAAAATTTTTATTTGTTGTTTTCTTATGATAAATTTCTCTCAAGTTATATATAAACTGGGACTATATCAACCTTCTTTCCAGACAAAAGTATAGAAATCATATAAATTAATCCTGTTAACTAACCACAGGCTACTAAAACAAATGAAAAAGGTTTTTCAAAAACCAGATAAAAATTCAACAATGTTTCTAAGTCGCCTGTCTGAGACATTACAGCAGTTTACTAATATCAATTTAAATTCTCTGGAAGGACAAGCTCTTTTGGCTATGTATTTTGTCTCCCAGTCAACACCAGACATTAGGTACAAACTCCTAAAAAGAAAGAAGGGCCCACAAATCCCTCAACTAAAGCTATTGGACACGGCTTTTATAATCTTTAACAACAGAAAGACAAAAATACAAAACCACAAACATAAACAGAAAGCGTTTCAGCTTTTGTCTACTGCTTTAGCAAGAGCTACATGCTCAGCTCTACTTGAATTTCCTGGTCCAATCCTTCCTTCACCTCTTTAGGTTGTGGGGTGCAAGACACAGGCCCCTCACTGCGCTGTTACTTCCATGTGTTCTGGGATATAACATGTTTCAACACTCCTTCTTTGTTATGCCAACGTGTCCAGCTCCATTATTGAAAAGAGACGGTATATACAAAATTAAAACTCATATTATTCTTCGCCCTCACAGTTGTGCTTTTTGAGTGCCTTTTGTTTAACTTTAAATTTCCCTAATAGTCCTATGTTAAATCCTATCAAACCCTTCCACTACATATAACCTTATTGCTTTAGTTATTACTCTGAGGTCAAGAAACATATAAAAAAGATGTTTGATATAAAATGTTTTTAATAAAAAATAAAAAAATAATAATTATATAAAAAAGTCTTATATGATACATTTTTGTTTTATGGTAAATGGCTGATTATTTAAAAAACAAAACAAAACAAAAGGATATAAAACAAAAATAGAAGATTCAAACATAAAAAAAATGGCTTA